GGGGGGGGGGGGAGTGTATAAATTGGTTATTTACATATTTCCAATCTCTGTTGATCAAACATCTGCTTCTCTTTCTTCCTCTGCATTTCCCTCGTCTCTCTCATACTGAGCTTACATTAGTTACCCACTTAATATTTTTCTTCTATTCAATTTGAACACTCAACATACTACTGATTAATTTATTTCTTCCATTTGAAAAAAGTTATCCCCTAAGCAAATATTTAAATTTCTGGTCAATGATTCTCAATTTTCTTTTTTCAGACTGTGTCTGTTCCAAATTGTTTCTATGTAAGCAGTGTTGTTTTATAATCTGGTTACTTAATGGTATCAGGCATTTAATTTCTTTCAATAAGATGAAAGCTTCAAAGAAACTATGGACTGAAGGATTTACAACATTTCTTAAACTAAGCATGTGTTTTATCTAATCTTTACTTTAGCGAAAATATTGCATCATAATAGACAATGTAACATGAGAAAAGTGCTTTTGAAATGAGAATTTTCTTTTTTTTATTCCTAAGGACTCTCAACTATTGGCCAAGCTATTGTGACATGGTTAATGGTACAGGTAAGAGCATTTTTCTTGGCAATAATCACAATGAACCCACCTCCCTCTCTCCCACAAATCCACCATCATACCTACAGGATTTTGAAGGGGAGATATGTGTTTACCTGTCTTTCTATCCACAGTACATAATTCAGAGTCTCTATTCTTTTATAAGTTTAGTAAATATCTGTTTATTGTGGTGGGATTTCTGAAGATTAACCATCAAGGATTAGCCTTTATTGAATTACTAGGGAAATGTTTGCTTTGTAAAAACTTTACTTAATGAACTGCCTTCCTGGCAATAGAAGTAAGGGGTTAAAAAACTTAGAGAAGTAGTTGCTATTCACATCTTTTGTAAACACTTTAAGGATAATAATTTAAAATTGAAAAATATCAAGATAATTACAAAAGGTAAATCATACTTCCAAGTAAGTCTCAAGCTGAGGTGGAATCAATGAAGGTGGGAGACAGAGCCATCTACTTTGAATAAGGTGGTCAGAATGAGAGAGAAAGAGCAACAGAAAACAAGGTTAAATGTCTACTAACCATGAAAAATGTATGGAAAGATGAACATGCTGAATACGATTTGGGAAAAAGACAGGACTACGAACTTAGAGGGTGGTTAGATATGGCTGATTGTACTCCTTGAAGAGAAAAAACAGCACACATATGCCTATTAATTTCAGAATTAAAATTTTAAAGAGCAATCGGAATCAAGTACCATGAGTGATTAAAACAGAGGTGAGCTTTCAACAACTAAGAAGTAGAGGCAGAAGAATGATGTTTACAAAGTTGGTGAGGCAACACCCTGTAGGGAAACAATATAATAAAGATGAAGAACTTTAGATAAAAAGTTATGCAAAAAATAGGGAGTGAGAAGGAAACACAGGGGATACCAAAGTGTTGTTGACTTTGGCATTTTTATTTAATTTTGTTATCACTCCCTTATAGAAAAATAGCAAAAACACTGGTTTGCTTTGTAGCACTTTGAGCCATGGTGGTGGATGAAAGGAAGGAAGAAAAGAAATTCCTTTCCAAGTAAAGCATTTCTGCAAATAAACTGTCAAGTGTTCCAATGCTACTAACCCTAGTAACCGCATAAGCATAGTGCTTCAGTCCTTAGATGCAGAGCGAAATACACTGCTGTTCCTAAATACTAAAGTGTTCTTTATAGGTCTAAGGGGGGAAAATCAGTAAGCATTTTTGTCTAAAACTAAGAAGTAGAGAAGTTTTAAAACAGGAGCTAGAGTATTCGTTAATGACAATAGTATAAATAAATGAGCAACTGGCATGAAATTAAAGGATCTAAGAGGAAAACAGAAGTAAAACAAACCAGGAGCAGAGGTATATTGGACAGGGCAGGGGACTCTGATGTGATCCCAGTGAGACAGATTCTTGGGAAAAGCACTAAGGAAAAGAGACGAACAAAACAGAAAAACTATAATGTGTTTTCATCACAATTTGCAAATGCTTCCTCTACCTTCTTCAGGAAGTTTGAAAAAATGTAAAATAAAAATATTGCTATACATTTGAATATTTTTAATGCCTTGCTAATATCAGCTGTCTAATTGCTGGTATAATTATGATATAATCTTCAGTGATATTTCAGATAATGAGTTTTAGAGCTTTTCAATGTATTCTTTTTCTTTAATGGTTAAGACATTGGTAAGGCAGTTGTAGGCAATGCCCATTCAGGGACCAGTCTGGGGAGTTTAAACTAATCTTTAATATTCAGTTTTCTTAATGACAGGATCAAGTTCACTGTGACCTTCTGTAATATTTTACTTATCACAAGAGTATAAGTGAAAGGTAATAAGATTACAAAGTTAGAGATTTACCAGAAATAGAACCTGAAATTCAAAACTGAATGATGGGTTTTATCATTTTGAACAAAAACCTTTAGTGGTGACTCAGTTTGGCAATATTCATTTAAGGAACAAATGGAGGTTCTCTCTCATTACTTATTCATATGCCCAGTGAGTGCCATGGATCATAACCACAGCAGAAATTCCATAAACTCAAAAAATAACCTTTTTAATTTGATGGATATGTTTTCAAACCATTTGTAAAAAATTCTGTTTAGTGAGAGAACTTTAAAAAATGATGTAAATAAAATTTGTCAGCCATTACAGCAGATGAATGAATCACTATCAAGAGTACCATGCAAACAGAAAAGAAATTCTAAATCAATTTCATGGTAAAAAAAAAAAGTTCCACTCTACTATATGTTTAAATAACAGTATTTTGGATATATTGGGTTAAATAAAACATGCCTCTTGTTTTACTTTTTAAAAATGTGGCTACTGGAGAATTTTAAAATTACATATACAATTTGCATTATTAGTTCTATTGACCATGCTGGAATAGAGATTTCTAGATTCTTCTAGGATACACATTACATTGAATTCCTTGTTATTGGCTTAATTTTTAAACAGATGCAGCCTCATTTCCTCCTTTTGTTGAGAAGACCCGGGTACTGCAATTCTTCTCCTCTGACATTTGCAGGTAAGACAGAGACACTGATATATTTCTGTGAGTCAGATTTTTTTCCCCCAAATAACAAAACACAGGCCAAGGAGCTCATACTTAATAATGTTATTTGAGGAAAATAAAATATACTTAATGAAATTAGTCTTGATTTATTAAGAAGAAATACAATATGGAAGTCATGATGGATTTATATATGCTTTAAAAAATTTAAAGGATGTAGAAAGGTATTTTGCATAATGTAAATCATTTTCTTGTCATTTCACAATTTTCTTTCTTTTACTAAACTTGCATTATGTTTAGTAACAGTCAAGTCTAGCCTTCTATGACCAATTTTTCTAAGATGTCCAGAGAAGATGATGTCACTGTCACAGTACTGTGTTAATTAACGTGCTCTACCTCCACTGCAGCATCTTTTCAAATTGATGGGGCCTAGTAGTTACCACACAGCATTGGAACCCACACCCATATGCTTGAACCCTAGCCCTGTTCCCAAAGGCCTTGTGGTTGTGAGCAAGTATTTAATGTCCCTGAATCTTTTCCTTATCTGTAAAATTGAAGAGAGCAGTGTTTCTTAATATAGAGTTATCTGGTGATTGGAAGAAATATTTATTGAGCCCCAGCACGTTACCTAGACTATGGTGGACACCAGGTAAATAATGAAGGTATAGGATATGTTATATCAAGCACTGACATGCACACACCACATCAAGTAAGTGGCCTTTCTCTCCATGACTGTTTTGACAGACATTTTATTTTTATTTCATTGAAGTGAGCACAAAACAAAGGCTTTGAGGCAGTCATATAAATATTTAATCTATGAAGGAAGTAAACTATGAAAAATGCTTTTAGTATCAATACACTGTGGTACTTCACAAGCAAAAATTATTCTTAGAAGTTTTTGAAAACAAAAGAATAGCTTATACTCAGGTATTGAGTTCTGGTATGCCTTAAAATTTCACAAGAACCTTTTCCCAAAACATCAAACAAGAATTTTAACAAGAGTATATCAGATTATTCCAAGTTAAAGCAAGAATATAAATCTAAAAATAAGCAAAAATAAATCTGCAGATTGTAGTTCAGGTCCCTGGAATGAAGCTCTTTCTTCTCTGTGTTTAGGTCCATCTATGCTGTGTTTGGATCAGAACATAATCTGAAAGGAATTTCTGTATACAGATTTGTTCTTCCACCCAAGGCCTTTGCATCTCCAGTTCAAAACCCAGACAACCATTGTTTCTGCACAGACAGAGAAATCTCAAATAATTGTACATATTATGGTATGCTAGACATAAGCAAGTGCAAAGAAGGTGAGTAACTGTTCTCAGTAACACAGTTCGTGACATAATTTGCAGTTATTTTTAAAAATGTAACCTTTACCTAGGATCCCTTTCACTAAAAATTTAAAGTGAGAAAGCAATAAGGGCAGAAAGTAAGGGGGATGGTAGGAAATGTTTGTTTTGATTTTGTGCTATGTTCAAGGTCCCAATTGTGTTTTGGTGCTGCAAAACGTAGTTATTGTTCAATAAAATCATACTAGTATTTCCCTGTGCAACGTAAGGGAAATGTTCCATTTTGTAATTATTTTTTCTCTCTTTGTCTTTTTGAGTTGTATGGGTTTCTTGTATATTTTGGATTTGGGGATAGTAAGTACTTACTGGATATCTAGTCTGCAAATATTTTCTCCTGCCCAGCTGGAGCCTCAGCGGTTGAGCCTCGACCTAAGATCCAGGCGATCGGGGTTCGATTCCTGGTCAGGGCACATGCCCAGGTTGCCAGCTCCATCCCCTGTCGGGGGCATGCAGGAGGCAGCTGATCAATGACTCTCTCATCATTGACGTTGCTATCTCTCTCTCCCCCTCCTTTCCTCTCTCTGAAGTCAATAAAGATATATTTTTTTAAAAAATTTTCTCCCATTCCATGGGTAGCCTCATTATTATTTATTATTATTATTATTATTATTATTTATTATTACTTTGATGGTTTCCTTTGTATGTAGAATCCTTGTGCTCCTTTTAGATTTAGGATAAAAAGAAAATAATTCCCAGAATACTTTTAGCATTCAACTTATCCGTCTGCCATTTTTCTTTCCTTGAAAATGGCAAATAAAAATAAGTGTATTTTCAGCATGTCTCTGAAACAAAAATTGACTTACACACAATTTGTGGTCTGTCTTGTTTTGCTCACCTTCTTCATGTTGAAGTGGTATAAATAAAGAAAGAAAAACCCTCTTTTTTAAAAAAAAAAAAATCTTTATTCATTTCAGAGAGAGGAAGAGGGAGAGAGAGATAGAAACATCAATGATGAGAGAGTCATTGACTGAGCCCACAACCCAAGCATGTGCCCTGACCAGGAATCAAACCCCAATAGCCTGGATCCCAGGTCAACGCTCAACTGCTAAGCCACGCCCGGCCAGGCGAAAAACCCTCTTAAGTGAATTAATTCTTAGAAATATTACTGCCTAAAAAACATCATATATGGTTGAAACTGTGTTCAGTGGCTAAACCTTACATATTAAAAAATAACATCCAAGGCATAAACAACAGGCATCAACTGACTGGCTAGTAGAATGATGCAGAATTTTGTATTTTATTTTTGTACAATAGTGATCAGATGTTATCATTCTCCCTCACCCTCATCCCCCAAAATTAGTGTTCAAACCCAACTATGCTTTTTTAAAATTTATTTAAAAATCTTTATTTTCAAAGAATCCTTTCTGAGTGATATGTGAACTGAGGAAAATAATTTACCTCCAATTATCTTCTTAAAACTTGCTTTCAGGAAAACCCGTGATCATTTCACTTCCTCATTACCTGCATGCAAGTCCTGAAATTAAAGAAAGTATTGAAGGCTTAAATCCAAATGAAGAGGAACACAGCACATATTTAGATGTTGAACCTGTAAGCAAATACACTATTGATCTGCCCTGTTTAATATTGTGTTTATTCTCCAATGAAGTTAAAGAGAAAATAAGTTCTTTCCTTGTCAATCACACTTATTGATCACATTTATTGAATCACAATCTTGATAAATTACTTTTATTTCAGTGAAAATTACATTGATTTTTCACTATTGCTTTACGAAATATCAAGGTAACTTTAGTTTTTATAAATATGGAACTTTTTAAGCATTTTTAGTGGTTCAAATGTCAGGAATACCAAAGATGGGAATAATTTTAATTGGCTTAAGATAATTTGATATAAATTACTAGTTTAGGCTTATTTTGTAGTTAACTGCAAGTATTGCTTATATGAAGAGACACTAAATACTATGAGGGGATCAAAGGAGATTTTATGGGTAAATGTGAATTTGGGGCTAGGTCTATTATACTTAGTGTCAAGAAAAATCTATAAAAATTTTTAGAAGCACCACAGTTTTAATTTTTTAATTACTTTTATCATATTCTCATTTTCAAAAATTAAATGAAATGCCAGAATTTTAATAGTAATTTTTTATTTTAATAATAATAATAGTAAGACTATTAAACTGATGATACATGGGTTCTGACTGAATTTATATTTGACCATGCATAGTTTAGAAAGTAAATAAACTGTATGAGCTCTTATGTTTCAGTACTGTTATTGTTATTGATTCCACAAAACCATTTTTGGTAAATACCACAAATCTTACTAAAACCTTGAAATTAAGGTGGACAAAAAATTATGTGTGTGTGTGCATGTGCATACATACCTACATATGCATATAATGTAATTATGGATAACTATGTAGGAAATATTTAATATGTCCAATTAGTCATTTAATAAATTTCACAAGTTTCAAGTAGAACTGTTTTACCTTAAGTTCTATATAACATTAAAAATAAATTTTGGCTATTACAAAAGAATGTTTTAAAAAGAAGTTAAAAATAATTTTAGTTTTTTTTGTGTGTGTGTGTTTTGTTTTTTTTAGATAACTGGATTCACTTTACAATTTGCAAAACGGCTGCAGGTGAACCTATTGGTCAAGACATCAAAAAAAATTGAGTGAGTCTCTTTACCGAGGTTATCTTTACATGAGTTTTAGTATTTTCTTGTAAGAATGTGAGTAAATTTATTAAAACAAGAGGAAATAATATAAAACTTCAACTTGGCTTGAATGTATTAAATAATTTTTATTAAATGCTTATAACTTTCATCTGTAATTTAGAAGTATATCTGGTGTTCTCTGAAATGATATTTACATATAGTATGGAAAAATTTAAAGTATTAGGTAGCATCTCTCATTTTGCTAGCTCTCCAAATATTTCTATGACAACAGTTTCTAGAATTTATATTTTACTTTCCTGAGTAGAATTTGTTTAAAGTGAAAATCTGTGTTAGAAAAAGTCAATCAATTATAAATCTATGTTATGAATGCTTTTAGAATAAAAGATGTCTGAGAAACAGCCATATTAAAATTTAAATGATTCATTACAGGGAACAAAAATAAAAAAAACTTAAGTTACAAGAGCAACTAATTTCTGAATATTTATTTACACTGGTAATTACTAAAATTTCTGTTATATGTGTGTAATATAATATATTTTCATAATTTTAAATGTATATTACAGGCCTTTAAAGCGTCTTACCAGGAACTATATTATACCCATTCTTTGGCTTAATGAGGTTAGTATTTTTATATATTAGTCATTAAAAAGCAGTAAACCTCTTTGTATATAAAAATGCTTTTGATGTTTCAAAATTGAATATTCAGGGTGGGGCAAAAGTAGGTTTTCAGTTGTGAGTATGAGAAACACAGAGTTTATTCTTGTATTATTATTTATTAATTATTGTATTATTTTCTGTACTAACAACTATAAACTAACTTTTGCCCCACACTATATGTATAATATTTGAAGCTGTATGTGTTTTCATTGTCCATACAAATGAGTTTATATATGATTAATTATAGCTATTTGAGAAAACCAAACCACACAGAAATATCAATTTATGCTAGTTTTCTGTGTTTTTCTTTTAGAAAGATAAAACACATTTTATCATTTAGATTATTTTCAAAATGTGTCTATTAAACATTTTTTTGGTCATTGTGCTGGTGTTAGGAAAGTCATTCATACATCTAACTTCAAATAATTCAAGACTCACTGAATATTATAGTTAATAAAAACCAACTAAACTGATAAAAGCCAGATTAGAGCAGGTGTAGACAGTCTATCCTGTTGTCTGATAAGATACTTTTGGTATAAGCCATGAAATTGATTAGCCACAGAATTAGGAAGTGCACTGCATATGCCTTTAGAGGAAATGAAAGAGCTGACCCTTGCCATTTTCCTCTGTCACTAGGAAACATACTTTGGAAAATCGCGAAAGATTTCAGTAAGACAGATTTAAAGATCAGTGGAGCCTAGCATATTGAACAGTGCCAGATAACATGCCTAATGGGAGGAGGATTGGATTTCACTCTGTATTCTATCTTGGCATTTATTGCCTCCTTTAGCATGCAAAGGGAATTTCATTGGCTTGTCTTATAGATACAGGTGACTATTACCTATATAGGTGTTTGGAGAAAAGAATGATGCATAAGTGGAGGATTTTAAATATTTTGCACCAATGATCTACGCAAATAATGCTAATTATGAACTTGATTACAGACTGGTACCATTGGCGATGAGAAGGCAAAAATGTTCAGAGAACAAGTGACTGGAAAAATAAATCTCCTTGGCACGGTCGAAATCATCTTACTCAGCGTTGGTGTGGTGATGTTCCTTACGTTTATGATTTCATTCTGTGCGTGCAGATCAATGAAAGCAAAATAAGTAAGTACATATATATATATATATACACACACACATATATATGTATAGATACAGGTATCCATATATGTGTGTGTGTATATATATATATATATATATATATATATATACACACACATTGCTTCAGTAACATTAGTTTAGATATCAGTTTTTGCATTTTATCAAAGAAGGGTTATAAATTAGGTTGTAACTCCTTCTGGATATGTCTAGTTAATTCTTTTTAAATACATCCTTGAAGTTTTGAGTTGCTTAATGTAAATGAAGAGTGAATGAGTCAATAAGGCCTATAAATATCAAGCAGATCAGTATATTACATCTTTATTCTGAGAGGGATGGGATAAAAGACAATTTTCACCTTTGAAATGTTAGTACATATATAGCTGTTGTGCAAAATTCTGACTTCACTTATTGTTTATTTCTAGTTAATTATTTTACAAATTAAAAATAATTTAACATATTCATTAGGAAAGGTTATCTAAAATTGAAAATGGTAAATATTTAGAGAGATTGAAATGTACAAGGGAAAGGTAAAAGAAATTTAAAAAGCTAGAAATTAATAAGAGATAAAAAGCTCAATAATAAATGATAGAGATAAAATATACCATTAAAAATAAACACTGAAGTACTTATATATGGAATCTAAAGAATATAATAAACTGATGGGCAAAATAGATCCAGTGACATAGAAGCATGGAACAGACTGAGGGATCTCAGAGGGAAGTCGGGGGTGGGGAGATTAACCAAAGAACTTATACGCATATACACATAACCCATGGACACACACACAGTAGTGTGGGGAAGGCCTCGGGCGGGGGTTGGGTGCCGGGTAGAAAGGGTCAATGGGGAAAAAAATGAGACATCTGTAATTCTTTCAATAATAAAGATAAATAAAAAATAAATACTGAAGTAAAATGAAGTTTAAAATAAAGATAACATTAATATAAATACAGGAGTGTTACATATGGACAGGCTGACCTTGCATTGTCCAAATCAGGGTGTGTGCCCTATATGCTTAATGTGGAAGTCTGACTAACAGTTAAAATTCATGAGCTAAAATTTAAATATAACAGTACAATAGAATAGAAGAAAGTAGTGTTCAACACAGTAAAACCAAAACACTCAGAGGTTAGAGGGAAAATCATGTAAATGTGGACCTTTTAGTTTCAGCAGACCTCTAGAGGTGGTTCAAGTCTCTGTGTGTTAGATATTAGTGTCCAGGTCCCCTTGTACATACACAGGGATGAATGCCTGATCCTATCTTCCCTTAGTGGAAGCCTGTCTTTAATAATTCTAGTTGTCATTGGTGTGGCCTATGGGGGAGATTTTTTCACTTCCCCCATAATTTTCAACAGCATTTCCTTCTCAGGCACACAAAATAACAATAATAAATAAATAAATAAATAAATAAATAAATAAATAAATAAATAAAGCAATACACTTGCTTAAAAATCACAACTTTAAAACAAGTTTTCTTACTTTACTTTCTATCAGACTACTGACCCAAAGCTGTCTTATATAGAGCTTCTGGAGCTGCCACTGATAACTACTGCACTTTTACCATGTGTCAAGATCATGCTAAATACGTTACATATACTATCACATCTAATCCCTAATACAATTTCATGTGCTGCCAATAGCCACGGATTCATCAGCACACACTCCAGAACTTTGTAAATTTTAACAGTGCAGAATTGTCCATTTTCAAAGTGTGAATCAGTCAAATAATTAAAATTTTAAAGTCGAACTTTTGGGATATTATTTCTTTTTTGTGTGAGATTGAGTCCTTGTGTCTAGGAAGGTAACCCAGTCTTTTGTTCTGATCATTTCTGCCACTGTTTATTCACTGAAAGGAAGACTGAATGATTTTGTCTACAATCTATTAAATTTGGACAGGATGTATTTAAAATACTAACCTAATATATTCACATTATAATAAATAAAGGAAATATTGCATCACCTTTTTAAGACCATTAGCCCAGTAACAAACATGATATGGTTAAACAAAGATATTCATATAACCATTTATGTAATAGAGAGATAAAATAATCACTGAAGAGCAAATAAATTTAAAAAACACTTATTCTAGTGGAAAAGCATGTTTTCAAAAGGAAGTATAGTAGTTAAATTTTTTTTCAGCAAGTATTCTCTATTAAAATTACATGATAAATTTTATCACTGCTCAATAAGCCCTGAATGTCAAATTCCTTGGGTTCCCCATGTGGCTAAATTAGAGCAAAGGATTGAAAGCTTTCCAGAGCATCTCTGTCAACAAATATATTAATTGTCTTTACATTTAACTGTTATGAGGAAAAATTACTGGTCTTTACAAAACTATATGCCTTTTTTTTACAAGTAAAGACGAACATTTTTCTTTGTAGATTGACTTACTAGGTTTCAAAGAATCACAAGAGATTTACATTTCCTTTAAGAAGCCGTCAGTTTTGAATATTATAAAATTGTGCCTTGGGAAGATTTGTAAACAATTGGAAAAACAGGAAACAGATGTGCAAAATAAAATAAAATATAAGATGGTGGAGCTAAAGAGTGGTTTTATTCAATGGATCACACAGAGAACAAACAAATATCCCTTTCAAAAGGAGTAGTTTATACACTTCTAAATGGAAGATGGTCTGAAGGGAGAGCCAAGAGTAGAATGCTTGTCCAGAGCAGATTAATTAGCTAGCACTGCTTATCTGGCTATGTGCAGTCTTGAAAGTAGGGAAGCATATCCTTCTTGAGTGGGAACATGTGTTGTCTCATCTAGAAGTCCACCAGAGAACTTTTCTCTGCAGCTTAACAAATTAGGCTGAATGACAGAAAGTATGATATCTTAGATATTTAAAATTTGAATATTAACTGTTTTATTTTATTTTATTTTTTTACTGCTTTCTGATAAACAGTAACATTTCTTCTACTTTCCAGACAGGAAATGGATCTTTACATTTATGTACCAGCAACATCGGGACCTTTCTTAATACTGACCTACAAAATGAAGATTTAATATGCTTTATTTTTTCAAAACATACTTAATCTTATAGTTGAAGAAACGGTGGCACTATTCATTTTTTGCAAGAAGCAGCAATACAATTCCAAAGGATTATTAAGATGTCATTAAAATCCATAATCTGAACAAGAAACCAACATCTTTTAAAATTCATCCTGTGCACAGTGAAATTCATTTCAACTTCTAAGGACCAGGTCCAAGCATGACCAAATTATTTTTATTTGGTTCTGATTCACTGATTGATTCCTTGGTGACAAATTCAGCAGAAGGTGGACATTCTAAACAAATTCTGGATCCTGAACTCTTATCTTCCTCATCAAGGGAAAACACCATCCCTCTGAGCAGTGTCACTGTTCAGTTGCAACAGACCCCAGGGCTGTCAGTACATTGCACTTCATGAGCATCAATTATTTTGAAAGACATTTAAGAATGGAAAATAAATGATTAGCCTTTGAGTTATTTATTATACATTACCTAAATTTCTTTCTCTATGAGATTCTTTGTATAGCAACCACAGGCATTATAATTATGTTCTTACTTTGTAACAATATGGGCTTATACTTTTGCCACTTATTATGCAGATGAAAGTCATTTTTAGCACATTTGGGCTCTCCACATTAAGGACTGTCATTTCCCACATTCTGCAGCTCTTCTGGAAATCTGAGTTGATTTTGATCTTTCTTCTCAGTTACATACAATTTATGCTTCACAACTTCACAATGCTGTGCTAGTATAAAAAGATGTAAGTGAGAATAAAGAAATTATTGCATGAAAGATTACAAAGAAGATAATGCATTAATGGTTGTTGTAATATTGTTTGCTTTCATAGTCACATCAGAATGATTTCAACCATTAAAAGACATTCTTACCTGAACTCCTGCACTTTGCCTAGTTCCTCTTGTGTCACAAAACATTCACCTTGATTTTCTGTCTGAAATATTTTATTTGATTCTATGTTTCTTTATGAATCTGTATTTTCTTCTGAAATATTCTCCCTAATTCAATCTTGACACTTTGTCCTAGGCTAAGTTTTTGAGTCAATTGGAGGACAAGCAAACTATATTTGGTTTCATTCTTTAGAGCAGCATGACTTAAGTTCTGGACTGTGAAAGATTTCTTTTTGTCAGACATATAGTTAGGCAATCCTGCTTTCTCTAGCAGGGGTTCACTTATTGCAGAGAGCACCCCTCTGCCTAAAAAGCTCCTATAGATATAAAGAGAAGATGAACCACATTCTATCTTGTGTTTTACACAGAGAAGTTTATAGGATGAAGTATTAGAAACTGTTTTGGGGTTTTGGTGTTTTTTGGATACTAAAATAAAGAATTACTTGATTTTCTCATGTTAGCTTCCAAGGTAAATAATGAAAATCCCAACCAAGATACCACCCGTTCAGAGGGACCCTTAGACAATCTGAAGGTCCTCAAAGTATACTTAGTATCTTTCCACTTAACTGGGAGGGGAAGATGTGTCCCCCTAAAACAGTGAAGTGTAAGATGAGATTTTAGAAATCCTCTTCTGATAATTAAGAGAAAAGTTTACTCTCTGCATTAGGATATTTTTGTGGACATGTTGATCTACGAGAAATATAAAGGAATTTTTAAATTCTTGAACTAAAATTATGTAAAGCAGGAACTGTGCTAAAAAATTGGGTGAGGAAATACATGTCCACCTCAAGTAAGGTCTGTATATCCAATCAATAACTCCAATTTTAAAGCTTCATACAGAAATGCATCTCAGTATTTAGGTATGAGGGAAAAGATTGTGCCTTATGTATCTTTAATGTTTTTTAACTAAATATCTATGTATTCTAATCTTTATCATTCCTTACCATTTTTTCTCTAAATTGTATAAAATATGAGGAAAGACAATTCATACACTAAGGTAAGTGGATTATATTGAAATACCCAGTAAGAGAAACAATTCCTTAAAGAATGGCACAGATGTGCACTGAGGTGCGAGTGGAGCACTTTGGGGAATGACTTAAATGTGTGACCTGTTGTTTAGCCCTAGAGAAATAGTATGGTGTTCAGAGAAGGTGAATGTTTGATACTTATAACTGTACATGGATGAGTTTGTGTACTTTATTCCGTAGAAAAACACCATTTGGTAGAGAGGTACATTTTCATTTCAAATTATGTTTAATGACCACAACAAATAGAATTGTTGTCCATAACTTAAATTTGAAAATCTGTAGTATGTGCTATAGTTAGAGAATCTGCAGCCTCTGAAAATGGATTAATGCTTATTTTTGCTGACAAACACATGAAGAAAGAGAACAATCTATATAGATTTTAGTTTTCAGGGGGAAAAAGGTAAAGTGAGTATCATTTCAGGAAAAGAAATGTGTGACTTTTCTGAAAATTTACTTGGAATATTCATGAGATTTGTGTTTGGATTTATATGGGTGCAATATTATGTCAATTTTTTAACATATTATCAATGTCAGAGCTACACAATATCTTTCTAGCTGGAGTTTGCTTAGGGTGTATTCTAACTGACAGCTCGGTTTTTCTGGTTGAAGTCTAATATGTTTGTGACACTGTGGCTGCTCTCACTTTGCCCACTTCTGGCTTTTCTACCATTCTAAATGGGTTTTGAACTCTACCTCAATAATCACAGTTCATTATGTTTTTCTGCATATCCCAAAAAAATTACTGGTGGTTGGTTTTTCTGGGTTATTTGCAGTGATCTGAGCTACTAAACTAAAAATGAGTTTTATATTTGTATCAAATATATACATGAGCACTTTGCTTTATTAGTTTGCAGCGCAAAGGTAGCTGCATTTTTAAGTATTTTTGAAACTACAGGCATACCTTGTTTTATTGCGCTTCACAGATGTTGCGTTTTCTTATAACTTGAAGGCAAGACTCCTTTGCTGGCAAAAAGATTGCAACTCTGTTTTATTGCAACACTCCCTTTATTGCAGTGGTCTGGAACTGAGCCCACAATATCTCTGAGGTATGCTGGTAAGTACTTTTGTTATTAGGAAAATAATTTTGCTTTTTATTTTTAATTTTTGAATATATTTTACTTAAATGTTTAATATTGCCACTATAATTTTATAGTAGCTGTTATTGTCTATTCATGGGTTATTTATGTGTTACTCCTATTTTTGTTTGCCAACTGTCTTCAGATGCTAGTAAGCTTATGTCTACACATTTCAGAAATGCTCCCTTCTACACACTTATGAAGGGTAACTGTGATAAAGCTAGGACAAACATGAATGTTTTAAAATATTTCTTCTTTAATCGTGTTAAAGCTAAGCCAACAGCCTCAGCATCACCTGCAGACTTGTTAAAAATGCAGACTCTCAGCTTCTAGGCCATGCCTACTGAATGAGATTCTGCAGTGTAACAGGATTCCCAAGTGATTTATGACTAATCATTTAAAAATAATGGTACCATAAGTTTTTGTAATCTCTATCTGTATTGGCTACTAATTTAGTAAATTCCCTTTCCTCACCCCCTTATCCCTTGCAACCCCATCCCCATCGCTAGCTCACATGTACCAGTTTTAGTAGAAGTGCAAGTAGAAACAGGGATAACAAGGGAGTAACCAACTAAATGGACATTTGGATTACATGTATTTTAAAATTTTTCCTGCAAATAATTTCTTGCTGAAATATGTTATTTTGCCGTATTATTTATGTTTGCTGTGTTATTTAGGAATATTCAGCTCTGGTTCTGGTTTAAGAAGGTCAGACCCTGAACTCACCTTCTACCACAGACACCTGATCTACAGGTACATATGTAACAATTTTCTCTGAAAAACAAAACTAAACTAAAAACTACCTTATCAACTCCTATACATTGGGCAAACAAACAAGCAAAAAAAAAAAAACAAAAACACCACCACACTGAAGAGGGTAGGAGAGGCTGACACCCAATCTTGCCATAAATCCCACCCCTGGCATGACAACACACATTCAAGAGGGGAGTTCCCTCCTGGAGTTCCTGGAGTTGCCCCCTGAGGGGCTTGAACCCTACATTAGACACCCTAACTTTTAAGAGCTGTACCTGAGACCTGAGCTCCCAAACATCTAGCTTTAAAAGCCAATGGGTCTCACATGCATGTGGCCTACAAGGCTATATCAACAGAGAAAGAGCTTTTATAGGACTTGCTTGGGCTCACCTGACCGAAGGTCCAGTTCAGAACTAGCCAATCAAGTCGCATACAGACTTTATGTGAAAGAGACTCATTTGTTAATCTTAAAGTGTTGGCTTGAAGGGCAGGCATCTAACTGAACACACATTAGGGGGGCTGCTGGGGTACTCTCCAGGGACAGAGGCAGATAGGCACCATCTTGTACCCCTAGGTGGCCACCATTTTTTATACTTCCCCTCTGCCTCTCTCCAGCCAATTTCTCTGCTGTGCTACAGAGCATTGGCATCTTCTAAGCGGAGTTTCACATACATCTGGTACCTTGTTTTTATGTCTGGTACCCTAGTTTTTGAGGATGCTGCCCCCTGGATGCTCCTTGATTGCCTAGCTCTAGCTCTAGAGACAGGGGAGTGGGGGTGGGGGAGGAAGACTTGTGTTCCCATGAAACTGTAACAATCAAAGAGACAGTTCTTGACAGTCTACCACCGCCAGGGCATTGCACAGACAGCAGATTGAAACATAACCCCAGGCATTTTGTGAATGAGGCCTATTTGCTTGTCCTAGAGCTTTGACATAAAGGGCAGGCTCAAGTTAGGCACATATCTTGAGAACTATAAAGATAATCTCAGGGAATGTAGGCCTGTAGCTTTCTCCCTGTGCCTTACTACAGCTTGCTGGCATATCCAAGAAAGTTTATACTTTTGCAACTGCCACCAACGGAACACCTCCAGAGCACCTGTCTCTGGTGGCCAGTGGGACATTGTGATCTCACAGAGCTGTATATATTTTCTTACTTTAAAAGCTGCAGCTTGTGATATGGCTCCCAATTAGCCTAAATCTAAGTGATCACATAGATTCTCCCCTTTGAGGGTGTCCTGACATGTCCTGGCACACCCTCAATTACTGGAAGCCATGAATCTCAGAGGGAAGAAAAGCAGGAAGAGATTAATCAAAGAACTTATATGCATATGTGCATTGCCCATGGACACAGACAATAGGGTGGTTGAAGTCTGGTCCAGAGTGGAAACC